CTCCGAAATAGAAGTAGAAAGAGCTAGAGAGAAGAGCAAGGGTCCAAGAATGGAACCATGAGGCACACCAACATGGTACACTGGAGGAAACTGATTGTAATCACAGAAAGATTTGAACCAAAAATTAAGCCTGAAGACTCTGCGTTGTGTTTGATGATGATGATGATGTTAGGGTGTGATGCTGAAGGAATTAATTTTAATGGTTAAGACCGCTTATTCCAATTTCCACCGAAAATGAAGCGAAGGTCACAGCAGAACAAAACAGCGATATTTGCTAGACTCCAGAGGTGTAAACACAAGAACAGTGCCATCTTGTGACCAATTTAGGTCACTACCGTACATCTTTATATAGAGCAAAATTGACTGGGAATCACCGCCTTTCGCAGGAAATAAATCCAGACATTGGCGAGGGACGACTTTTTTGAACAACGAACACAGTTGTTGTTGTCGTGTTGTCGGGCTTGTTTGCCATCGCGCTGCTGTAAAATCGTATTAACAACACTTTATGATGATGTCATGCCGTGGGTATGTCGTATGACAACTTGTGTTTGGGCTTTAGCATGGCACGGAACAACTGGCCATAGTGTGAGTGGACACTGACTAACATATTTCAGAGAGTATGTGTGCCTGTTGACAAGCAAACAAATCCGTAGTGATTAGCTATAGCAAAAGCTAGCCAAAATCTCCAATATAGTATTTATTGTGAAAGCTAGATTAAAATGGAGGACAGCATCAATGTCAACAATTTTAAAGTTGTCTTCATACAGCTGTAGCTGAATCGACATTTGTTTCTAATCATTTTCTCGATGCTGTAGATTTCTGTATTGGAACATTCCCCCGTGTCCACGAACTCACCAGCTACACTTAGGTGGAGACCAAGTGGATGACGACATTGGCATTACACATCGGCAGCAGCACTCAGCAGACTTGTCAGTGGGGGAAACTTAATTACTCTTGCATTAAATTTAAATTTTTTAATAATTTAATGTTTTACGCCACAGGGAATTCGTTCTGTCTCTGTGAGCAGGACAAGTCCTCGTAACGAGAGTGTGTAGACAGACAGGGGTCCGCACAGCATTAATGATGTCAGGCCGACACACACTTTTATGAACACACACAGAGTAGCTCAGTGATCTGAGACTGACGACAGCTAATGAAATGAGGGAAATTAAGGGTGCAGTGATTTGTTGAGAGGAGGGCAGACCGGGGGGAAAGAGAACAAGACTGCAGGGGCAAGTGACAAATCCCAGTTAATTGTTTTCACCTCTCAATACACTGTGTATGTGTGGGCTGAAATAAAGCACCGTTGTGTCAATCTGTCTTCGGATAAACAAAACCAGAATCTAACATTTTAATCTCAGGTAAAAAAAAAAATGATAGTGAAATTAAAGAATGTATAAAAACTAGGTTATTGGACCAGTAAGTCTCTCAAACTACTGGCCCGTGGGCCACTTCTTGCCCGTAAACGCCCCACATCCAGGCCCATCAATAAGGAATTTTAAAATACTTTCTTCAGTTGTTTTTTTTTTTTTTTTCAGTCATTGTACTCATGTGTATCGTTGTATTATACAGAATTTATAGGATTTGAAGTCATTGTACTCATGTGTATCGTTGTAGAATTTATTTACAGAATTTATAGGATTTGAGTAGCGTTTTTCCCCAGAGGCAACGTCTCTGTTATTGGTGTGGAACCCCAGGGTTCACCTCCTGGGCAAGATCGAATCCCAGTTAGGGTGGTTGGTACCTTCCAGTGGACTCACCACCTGCAGGAAGGTTCAGGGAGGTTGGTACGGTGCAGTGTGATTTGGGTGGTGGTCATAGAGACTGCTGCCCCTGCGACCTGGTAATAGATAAGTGGATGAAAATGGATGGATGGATGGATGGATGGATGGGCATAGGATTTGAAAAATAAAAGGTTGTATTGAACGTCAGTAACTGACGTAGCCCACAAGGTGAACTGACATTGGGTTCCAGACCCCTGTTATACAGTATGTGGACATTTCTTGGTTTTGCTACAACTCTGAACTAGCTTCTAGCTAAAAGTGAATGGAAATACCTTTGGAAATTCCTGAATTGGTAGAACCTAAAATTTCAGTAATCAACCCGACTTATACCTTGTTTGTTTTTTAGTAATCAACCCGACTTATACCTTGTTTTTTTTGTGTGTGTGTGTAGATGTGTTTTCTAGAGTTTTTAGAATGACAGGAATATTTATTCCAACTTTTTTTTGCATGGAGCAGAAGCATTCACTAAAGTTCAAAGTGTAAAGGGATATTTATAATATAATACAGTTCAGTGAAATTCCTCAGTATCTGTGAGTGCTCCATATGAACTGTATCGTCTCTGTGGTGATTCTGAGTGTGGGGACCGCGGTCACTGTAGCCGGTGAATGAAATGAGCTGGTACAGAACCACAGATGGAACACCAGCATTACTGCAGCGAAAACAGAAACAGAAGTCGTCATTATTAATGGAAACAGCAGAAAACACTGCCAACAGCGAAACATCCACCGTGCTTTGAAGTGAGTTTGTCACATGAAACACGGCGGAGGTGGACTTCAAAGAGAAATTTAGGAGAGTTAGCATGTTTTTTTGTTGGTTTTTTTTAAAAATTAGATAACAAGCTTTTGGAGGGGAACAGAGGAGGGGATAGAAAAGAAGAACAGAGGAGAGGAGTAGAGAAGGGAGGCTACGAGGCAAGGAAAGGATAGACGGAAAAAACAGAGAAATAAACTTTTCCGGTCCTTCTGTATATCTGGCAGAAATGTCCTTTTTAGTATTTTAAACACAAACACTACCAGTAGGGGGCTCTGATGGTATATTTACTCCACATATCTCTCCATCATTTTAATCTCCACAAACAGAGAAATACAAAGCCCACCCTCACGAGAAAAAAAAAAACACTTGAGAAAACATAGCAGGAGAGACAACAACACAGACTTCAACCGACGCGTCCTTTTACAGAGGAGGCAGACGCCGTCGCTCGGCAGGTGGTGACCGTTGATAAAGACAGGGAATCAATGTGGAGACGAGAAGACAGAACAACGGTGATGGACAGGCCGGAGCGTCTGCACAGAAATGGAATCACTGAAGCACCGCGTGTACTTTAACAGAAAGCAAAGGGGAAAAAAAGTGAAAAGAAATGGAAAAAGGATAGACAGAAGAGCAAAAGGTGGGTATAAAAGCCACATGTGTCTCAGAGACAGCTGTTAGAGTAGAGAAGAGTGGAGC